CCCTCCCAACACACCGCAATCCTCCCTGCAGGGTTTCCCCCCTCCCCAGCCCCAATCCTCAGCCTCCCTAAGGACTGAACCCCCCCTCAGCTCTCCCTTTCAAGGACTTCAGTCCATTTGCAGCCCCAATCCTACACCATCCGGGACCCTGAAGCCTCTCAGATTCCCACCCCCCTCCCACGACCCCCTTAAATCCCCCCACACCCCTCCCTCCAACTCCTCAGCCCAAGGCCTGCAGGGTGCCTCCATCTCCTCTCATTCTCCATCTGCAGGCCCTCCAGGGCCCCCCCTCAGCCTTTCCCAAAGCCCCCCGACCCCCCCCCCGGACTCACCCCAGCCCCTCCGCCACCGCCTCCAACTGAGTTCCGGCCCCGCCACGCGCCCCGTTCAAATCCCGCCCGCAGCCAATCAGCGCGCAGCGCCCCGCGCGGGGCACGCCGGGAGTTGTAGTCCTGAGCTCGGCCCCGCGCAGCGGAACCGGGCCGGAAAACGGGGAACGGGAACGGCCTGGGCGCGAGCACCGGGAAAACGCTTCTTTATGGCCCGGAAACGTTAAACGGGATCGGAAAGGAAAACGTGCGGGAAGGTCCGGGCGCTGGGCGCCGTGGGGCAGCGCTGCCGCTGCGCTCCTCCCCCGCGCTGCGGTGTCCTTGGCGAGGAGCGGCCGGAACACCTGCGAGATACCGGCCTTATCTCGGACCGCAGCACGGCGCTGCGGCCCTGGGGAGAAAACCGAGAGCAGCGCAGCCCAAGCAGCGAGCCGGCAGGCGGAGCGGGGCTCTTATCAGAGCGGTTCGAGTCCCGAGCGATCGCTGCTCCGCGCGGCGCAGGGGGAGGATTCGTGCCCCGCTGCGTCACACAGATGCAGCGATGTTCGTTTCTGTGCCGGTCTGGGCGCCGAGTTCCCCGAAACAAAGCGAAAGGAAAACCTCCCGTTCGTTTCCACGGGTGCTGCAGCAAAGAGTACGGCGCGGTGAGCTGACGGAAGAAATTCCCAGCGGCCGAACGCCGTTTTTCAGCGCAGCTCTGCGTTCCCATCGGTGGATCAGAGCCTGCAGGGCTGTCCCGCAGCTGCACTGATGGCAGCGTTGCTCAGTGCTGCCCACGCAAAGTCGATACGATGTCCTTATCAGCATGTATGACATGATTAATGCTTGCTTGCAGCACCATAGGAGCCTCTCGTGTTGTGGTTGCGATGCAGCGCTGCAGGAGGGGAGGCACACTGCGCAACTGTCCTGCCTTAGCAAAGCAAAAGAAACACAACAACAAAAAAATGGTGCTAGCTTTATGGAGCCCTTAAACCAGGATCCGAACACCGGGCAGAATTGGCCTAAAATCTGATTGAGGGCATTGAGACATTCCCTGGTGTTGTCCTTATCTGTGTGTGCAGACGCCTCTGGCTGTCCTGGCAGCCCACAGCATCCTTTGGGTCAAAACGAGTCGTTGTGAGGCTCTCAGCAGGGTTAAAGATAACGGAGGTGTTGGAGGCAAACCCAGAGGGCCGACAGTGGACTGACAGCAGACGGTCACAGCGCTGTCAGAACAGGGTGGAAGAGCATCAGATGGGGCTGCACACGTTGTGAGTCACTGGGAGCCGATGGGGTTGCGATTTGGGGAATGCAACGAATGCGTAATACACGAGGAAACGCAGTCTGTTCACGAACGATCGGCTGGGGGGGAATTTCTGGAGGGTTAAACCAAAGCTGCCCATAAGAATGCCTTCCTAACCTAATCAAGTAGTGACGCTTCTGCTGGTGCGCTTCTTCGAATCGATTCCTTCGTTTCGCACTTTTCTTTGGCCCACGCAGGCGGACGGCAGGCAGCTCCACATCCGGCCGGGCAGCGCTGCCGGGATGGGCGCTGCGCTCCCCGCACTGCCGGCTGCGGGCCGCCCCTGCCGTGATTGCGGTGCTCCGGACCGCCGCTCAGCCGCGATGCAGCGGTCGGAGGTCGATGCCAGCCGCGGACCAATCGCCGCGCGTCTTTCACCCGCGACGCGCGGTACGTCCAATGGGAGGCAACTCTGCTCTCCCCGTCCCCATCGGAGCCAATCAGCAGCGAGCCACGGGGCAGTGGGCGGGGCCACCTCCGCGGAACCGAAAGCAAAACCAAAGCGTGGCCTTGAGGGCGGCGCGAGGCGCAGCGACAGCATCGCGACAGCGGCACCTCGCCGGGACACCGCCCCACAACGCAGCGCCGCCGTCCCACGGCGGAATGTCGCCATCCCGACACGCAGTGACCCCCTGCCGCACAGCCTGGAGCCGCGTGCTGAGTCACGGTGCTGCTGTGGCTGTTCGTGGAGCTGCTGTGCTGCTGTGGCTGCACTGTGGCTGTTCTGTGAAGCTGCTGTGCTGTTGTGGCTGCACTGTGGCTGTTCTGTGGAGCTGCTGTGCTGCTGTGGCTGCACTGTGGCTGTTCTGTGAAGCTGCTGTGCTGCTGTGGCTGCACTGTGGCTGTTCTGTGAAGCTGCTGTGCTGTGGTACCTCTGTACTCCAGCTGCCCCATGGTGCAGCACAGTGGTCCCAATGCTACTCCTTGCCCCTCCAGGAGCAATGGGTGTTGTCACCCAGCTGTGGCTCTTTCCCCTATCAGTGCTTCATGCAGTACATTCGCTAATAGTGAAACGCCCAGGCGTTTTCACTTCGGGGCAGCGCAGGGTTTTCTGGGTAAGCACAGGAAGCAGCGGCTGAGGGCGGGCCGGGGGGCTTCCTGTTCTGTTGCAGACAGCAGGAAAACCATGGAGGCCGCCGTGCCCCCAATGTCAGCTCCGCTCTGCCTGGTGCACAACCAGGACTGCAAGCTGTCCCTCAACCCCGCAGCGCTGGCAGTTCTGCGCGGCGCCACTCAGCCAGTGGTGGTGGTGGCCATCGTTGGGCTTTCTAGAACTGGGAAGTCCTTCCTGACGAAGCGGATGGCACAGAAGTGCACCAGTAAGCCGGGCTGTGGGGGTGGTTCTCTTCATTCTGGGGGCATCTGGGGAGATTTCTGATGGCTCTGTGCCCACAGGCTCCCCACTGGGCAGCGCGGTGCAGAAGCAAACAGAGGGCATCTGGATGTGGTGTCTGCCGCACCCGTGCAAACCTGGCGTGACGCTGGTGCTGCTGGACACCGAGGGGCTGGGAAACCCCTGCAGAGTGAGTGCGGGGGGGGGGGGGGGGGGCGGCTCCATACCTCCCCCACACCCCTCCAGATCCCCTCTAACATGGCTGCGGGTTCAGGGTGACATCCGCAACAACACCTGGATCTTCACATTGGCGCTGCTGCTTTGCAGCACCCTGGTGTACAACAGCATGCACACCGACAGCCACACGATGCTGGAGAGCTTGAGGTACGGGGACGGCTGGGAGGGCGGCGAGGTGGGGACAGCGGGGACAGTGTGACAGTGTGAGCGGTGACACGGTGACACGTGCCAACAGTTTGCTGGCAGATCTGAAGAATTACGTGCATGTGCGAGCGCAGGCGGACGGCACTGGGCCAGAAGACGAGTTCGCCCGTGTCTTCCCTGGCTTCGTCTGGGTCGTGCGTGACTTCAAGCCGCAGGAGGGCGAGCGGCCCATCAGCGCGGATGAGTACCTGGATCAGATACTGCGCCCATGGAACAGTAAGGCAGTCACTGTGCGTCTCCATCTGTCACCGTGTGTCCCTAAGGGCAGAGCACTGCTGACATGCAGCGTCTGAGGCGCAGACTCAGATGTGAACAATCCAAATCCTTTATTGCAGATTCTAACATCCCTTATATACATCTCCAAGCTCCCTCCCGTAACTTTCCATCCCTACAACGTGCCCTGAACACTGAAGTCTCCCTCACGTCCAGGCAGTAGCGGCCCACACAAATTCTCGTCCGCTCAGAGCCGCGCGTTGCTTCTACTCGCGCTTCTCCAGTCGGGTCATCGTCCCACGATGGCCCCCAGAAACAGCCTTTGTTCTCACTGTCTTCTTCCACTTCCAGATTTCCGCATCAAATCTGTAGGGTTCTTTCTACTGAAGGACAAAAGCAAGGTGCAGCTCTGCCTACGCAGCTTCTTCCCTCACCACAAGATGTTCATGCTGGAGCGGCCGGCGGCCGACAGGGACCTGGCACAGCTGGAGGTGCTGCGGGAGGATCAGCTCCAGCCACGCTTCAGACAACAGGAGGAGGCCTTCTGCCAGCACATCTGGAAAGAGGCGCCAGTGAAGGTGCTGCTGAACAGCAGCCCGGTGACAGGCAGAAGTGAGCAGTGGTAGCGCGAGGACGGGTGGCACGCGGGGGTTTGTGCGTGGGGGTGACGTGCGACTGTCACCTCTCAGCGCTGGCGCGCCTGCTGGAGGCTTACATGGCAGCCATCAGCTCCGGCTCCGTGCTCTGCGTGGAGAGCGTGCACACGGCGGTGACAGAAGCTGAGAACAACGCGGCGGTGGAGATGGCGGCGGCCAAATACCGGCGGGGCATGGAGCAGGACCTGGTGCTGCCCACGGCTTCGCTCGACGCGCTGATGGCCGCGCACCAGGACTGGAAGAAACGCGCCATCGCCTTCTTCCTGTCCCAAGCCCTTGACGGCACGGAGCAGCATTACCAGGCACTGCTGATGGTGCGTCACCAGCACGGCGTGGGGATGGGGCTGATTTCTGTGCACTGAGCGCTGCTTCTTGGCACAGGACAAACTGGAGGCGGCCAAGGAGGAGTTCTGCCGGCGCAACGAGGCAGCGTCGCAGCAGCGATGCCGGGCGGTGCTGAGGGAGCTGTGGGGGGACATGGAGCTCCGTGTGCAGCGTGGGGACTACGTGGCACCGGGGGGGATACGGCTGTTCAAGAAGGACCTGAAGCGTATGCAGGAGGAGTACAAGAGGAGGCCTGACAAGGGCGTCAAGGTGAGCAGGGGGTGGGTGCAATGGGGCGGTGGAGACGCTGTGCCTCACGGTTGTACCGTCAGGAGGAGGAGGTGCTGGAGAAGTTCCTGCGGGTGAAGGGACTGGAGATGATCGAGATGTGGCTGGAAGGGGTGGACCAACAGTGTAAGGAGGTGCTGGCTGAGGCGAGAGCTGCAATGCAGGCTGTGGAGAAGCAGCTGGAGGAGCACAAGCAGAACATGGTGCAGTTGACCAAGATGTGGGTCGTCAAGGAGATGCTGGAGCTGCGGGTCCACAGTTTGGAGGAGCAGCAGAAAGTGATGTTGGCTGAGGTG